AACTCAGCTCGTCGAGTCTATAAGAGTGCTTTCCTAAGTTTTCTAAAGCACTATCTGGATTGCGCCATGCACTCGATTTTCATCTCAAAAAGTAGTTGCTCGCATGTGATGTGTATATAATCCCGCTTATGCGGGCTGACCGCTACACACAAAGAAGGGCCTCAAAACTTACCCCAGAATGCGCCACGTACTCAATCTCATCCACTACATTGTGAGATTAGATGAATGTTATTTTCCGAATTCTTAGATCTTCATTTCGTTTTAAGCGCTTACTGGCTTTACGTGTTCCCTCTGCTCTCAATATCCCATCCTCTGTATATCAAGTGGAAATCTTTGAACAGTTCTCAGCAGGCATAGTGGGCCTATTATGTGACATTTCCCATTTTCAGAGGAGATGTTTTGCAGAAAGCTGTGAAGATAGCGAACAATTTCCTTCACTGTCGTAGACTACGGTCACTTGTCTGTAGGAATTATATGGAAAACTTGGTCGCAGGTGAGCGTTCCTTCCGTGGTGTGGCCCCAAACATCACTCCTCGTCATGCCCTTGTGGAAATGATCAGATTTTTTGCATTTCCAGATGAACTCGCAGACCTGAGATGTGCACCATTCGATTCCCCATAAAAATGCTATCGAACGATATACAACTATTCCCAGTTGAAACTTTGTTTTTCACCGTTTTCGGCCTTCTCCTTACCGCCGATCGCCTTCCCCAGCCCTTTGATCGGCCACGTGCGATCCACGTGCACTAGTTATCGTCCACACAAGCAGCGTAGAATAACTTCATACTATTCGGCCGAGTAGCCAACACTTAGGCCATGTCGGCCCATGCTTTAACAATGACAATGTTCTCACTAGGTCAATGTGGGCTTTCAGCGTTCAGCGCTTGAAGATGGTATTCTCTGAGTCGGAGGACAATCCGTCTGTGATCGCTTTTCATTTCTCACTATTTTCGTCGTATGTTATGTCAGAGATAAAAAGAATAAAGCTTCCGGCGTTGATCGATTTCGTTATTTCATTCACATAGTGCTTTTTCTCTCAATCAGAAACGACAGTAGAGCATACTTCAAGGGAACTCAAAACTACTACGCTACACAAATACACTCTACACATGTTTTCATCCATGATGGGAGGACATTAGTTAGTTAAGAGGTTCGGATAGTTCCAGTAAGTCCAGAAGAATCAAACCAACCAGAATAAGTTCACGTTTCTTCACAGGTGGAAGGCGGCTTCCTTGCGCCATCGCGGAATTCATATGCAGTATCTTGACGAAAATTGCTAGGATATATAACAATATTCACACCAGAAAATGAGAATGCCATTACCCTCAGAGCAAGAGTGTAGCCACCACATTCGCTGAAATCAGAAGTAATGGTAGGTCATGAAACCATAGAGAAGGAGAGCGGATTGTCTCAACGCAGAAGCCCAGTTTTAGAGTGTAACAATTATTAGGCTGTTGCAATGCGGAAGTCCCTCGTTTTGATTCGCTCTCAATTACTCCGGAGTCTTTGGCAGTAAAGGTACACATTAGCGAAGGAGGAAGTTTGAGTATCGACTAGTGAGCAACTCATCCTGAGACGCCTTTTCTTTACTAATAATTTCTTTTACAAATGTCTCTCTCTTTTAGGCGGAAGTGGTGTAGTGGCAAGTGGCACGCTTACCACGCGAGCGGTCCGGGGATCAAATCCTGGGTCGTGAGTCGCCCGGGCCAACCAAGCCTTCCATCCCTCCGGGGTCGGTTAATTGGTACCAGACTTGTCTGGGAGGATAAAAACACTGACTTGTACATCGGCTGGCCCCCGCAAGTCATTGTATAGGCCACATCGCATTCAAACGCCACTACGAATGTACAAATGGAAGTAGAATGCGTGCCGCATCCCAAAAAGGGATTGATCAACGGCAAATGCTTTATCCTTTTAGGCTTATTCCTTTTAAACATAGATGGCTAAGAATTTTGAGTGCGAGCGTGCTCGACGACCTCAGACAAGGGGAAACAACTGCTGAATGTTATTGCAACTCAAACAGTTGATTGCTTAACAGCCGAAAACCTAATGAAGTCGAACGTTTGGTTTTTGTGTGATCCCAAAACCATTACTTGAATCACTCACCTGCAGCCGTAACTGAATCCTAATGTGTAAGGGCTCACACGTTTGTGACAACCGATAATATTCATATGTACGGTGAGTAACACAGCGGCAGTATATGGCAGTCCCATGAAGATGAACCATCGCGAGGCAATTGCGGATAACAAGTCGAACTGAAAATGCTTCACATTAGTACTAAACCTGAGGATACTTTGACAGCATACAAGTGTGTGTGGCATGAATCGTAGGCCATTCGTACCCTAATCGCAACTGCATTTTTGAACGAAGCATTCATTCGCAAGCGAACCTGCCGTGACACTGCCCGCCTCTAAGTGGAGGACTCGAGCTGTGATTGGCTGAATGCTGATACTGTTATCATCGTACTTTAGTCTTCATTTTGGAAGGGCATTTATGTAAGCGACTGTGTCTTTGAGTTTCTCCAGGTAATGTTATCAATCCAGAGAATGTTCATTGGCATGATGGGCTACCCGGACTAATCGGCGCAAATGAGCTCGGCTCGGTCACAGGTTAGCCCAGAGCGGGGGGAAAGGCTTAAGAGGTTTTCAGCCATTTTTCTGGACCTCCTTTTGACCAGTGCCTACTCTATCACTTCTACTTACTTCAAGTTCTTGGGGAACGAATTTTGAAAAGATTCCTCTTAAAGCGAGAGATTGCGATAGGATTCTGTTGTGCTCATAGTGGAAGTGAAGATGCTGAATAATGCCCTAGTAGCGAAAAAAGCAAAGAAATCCGTCAAAAACGCGCAAAATGGGACCACTTCCTCTGCCCGTTGACCTCCGATAATGGACGAGTTGGCAACCAACTAAGAGGTCGTCGGCACTCGTTAAACCATAGCTGCCATCATACCACCAGAGATCATACCTTGATTGATATAGCATTCCATGAGAAAAAATTGGATACGCGCTCGAAGTGGCATACCTTATCAGAATGATAATCGAACAGCGATCTGCTGAGGGGCGGAGCACAGGCGGAGGCGGAGCTCAGAAAGGATTGGCAGCCCCAGGGCGCTGCAACGAGCGCACCTTTAGTCACAAAAAGGCCACATCTCGATTCCTTTGGGCTCTAGCTACTGCTTGAAGTGCTGCTCGTTCTTCCATGCTGCACAGAAATTTTATCGTAATTTCTCGCTTTAAACAGAATCATTTACTGTCAAAGGTATCAAAACCCGAAGGCTTAAACAGGTCCCTAGAATTGAAAGATGTCGTGAATTGTATGCAATCCCAAGCAAGCTTAAAATGCTTGTTGACTTCATTCACGCAAATCTCTTCACCTTCACCCATTACTGAAGGCATTCAAATGTGCAGCGATGAATGTAAAACCGATGGAACAGCCTCAATCCAGGTAAATGAATCCCTCTTTGACGACTCTGCGCGAGGGGCGGCGGGGGGGCGGCCGGGCCGCGCGGGCTTTTGCTCTGAGCGATCCGGGCGACTAGACGAGCTGTGTGTGCTTGTGATTCTCGATAGCTCTGCCGTATCACGCCATACAAACACCATCCCTTTATGATAAGACTGTCACTCACCACTTCAGAAGAAACGAGTAGATTACGATCGTGCGGAATAACCTTCTTAAAATGGAGAGCAAAATGATGAGGGTGTAACACCCAACACGCTTTTGTTACCATACACCGGCTTGGTGAGCGTGCAGAGTCGATGGCGCCGCGACCAACAAGTAAGGTCCTCGTGCCCTGCTTTTTCGAGCAGTTCTGCATTATGGGGGCATGTGCATGATACATTAAACTATGCTTCCGTTTTCCTGACTAGACCTCTGAAGGCGAAAAAAGGTATGAGCTGTTACCCATGGGTCGAGACAAAGTTTTTGCATTTTCGATTGACCCTTGCACGTTGCCGCAAAATGACAGCCACAGTGGTAGTAGATGTCATACATAACACCATCAGGATCATTAATAACTCGTATGGGAACGTTTTCACCAAAAAGTGTAGCATCTAACTTTTTTAACTCCACTTGCATTCAGAAGGCCGCCAACATAAACCATAGTTGTTTGCCTCGCAGGTGTCTCTAAGAGGTTTTAAAAAGTGGGGCATGACTTGAAAGGCCTTCCTGATGAGACTCTGATAGTCTACGAGAATTGAGCACCAGCGCGCCTCCTGAGAGGGCCTAGCTTCCTCTTTTGTAGATATATTTCCATTTCACCGTTTTTTGTATGGAGCCTGCTTATGCATAAGTGCACATCCAATCAGGCCTGAAAGTTACTTGAAAAAATCACGAAAAACCTACTCTGGTCATGAAAAAAATAAGAAATCGATCTAGAGCCATAGTAGTCGTCGTGAACATAATCAATAAATATCCCTAGCGTGTTCGGTGTAGTCAGTACGATATTATATGGATCAATTATGGGCATATCTCCGAGTATAGTCGGTAGCAAAGACAAGCAATTAGAACTAAGAAAGACCAGGCTAGCAACGACCATGCCAGTGATGTGTGGCCGAATCGGTTTGTCGATCAAGCTGGTCCGGTAGAGCACGATGGCAATTACTGTATTGAGCAGAATCGAGAGCACTGTTACGAGAAGCATGATGATTCCCAGCACATATCGCGCAACTAACGATGCCTCATTAGGATGCTCCTTGTGAAAGCATGCTAGAGCGGTGTTCATGCCTGAAAAAGTCAATGATTTGCACGACTAATTATTAGAAAAGAAGCAAATATTTCGTATTCAAGTGTGAATTCGAAAGGTTTGCAAGGCACCCTCCACAGTCAAGATATGTATGTCATATTCCGCTCAAGAAGCCGAGCTTTGAAATAGTGGACTTCACCTAAAAAAGCAAAGAAACCATCCGAAACGGTGATGATGAAGGATTAATTTTTGGTGACAGGCAAGAAGAGAGAATACGTCAGAACGGATGAGAGAAAGCAGCGGTGCCACCAGAGTCAAGTGTGGGCTACAGAATACTTTGCAATGGACGTGGAGACTCAGATAATTCACATGTGACGGGGAAACCGGTGGAATGAACAGCGACAGCCTGATCTGTAGGAAACAAAAACATGGCCAGCGGTGGAGTTGGTAGATTTTGGATCCACTAGTGCTTCCCCTCGCCGTTTAGTCGTTCCCAAGCCACAGTATAAATTAGTGAAAAATGGCAGCGAAAAAATGTTAAATATGACTATGGTCAAGGCAGTGCTGCTGATAGAACACGTTGCGGAGTGAGACATAGGAAGTCTCGAATCTACTGCACCTCTAGGGCGGATTTTACGATGAAACGGATGCTCATTAAAAATCAAGAAGAGGTGGTCAGATGCATGGACAAAAACCAAGAAGATATGCCTTGAACAAGTAGAATGGGTTCATTCCCAGCTCGTATCAAAACGGGAGTTTACGACGAAAAGACAGCTCATCAGGAATTGGAAACGGTCAGTTATAGGATTAAAGAAAAACTAAAAAATCAGGCCAAAAAATTGAAATGGTGTCCCCTTCTAGCCCTTTGATTTGCGCATTTGGCGAATCTCATCGGTGCTTTGTTCAGCTTTCTCTCCCCTCTCTGTCGGAACGGCCAGGGTCGGACGGCGAAGGGTCAGCCATTTGGTATTCGTGCAGTGGCACGAGCGGCGCGGGTACGACCCTGCTAGGCCGCTAAGAGTATACCCATCGCTGCGAAATGCGCGTCGTACCCTAGAAGATCTGCCTGCTTTCAGACTAGGTATATTTCCCTTTCTAATTCCCTTCGAGCTTCTCGTTTCGCGAAAATTCAGATGTATTTGAAGGCTTAAAGCTTTCCTTCCGACAAATGCTTAAACAAAATCTGAAACTTTCTGTTTGAATTGTCATAGTAATTCAAACGTGACATTGCACGAGGGTTGGCCATAGTTCAAGGTTCAAATAATTTGTGCTTGAACTTTATTGAAAACCAGTTTTTGTGGGAAAACCGTACCGCCAGTTTTCCGTATAAATGCCAGTTTTCGACCTGTAACCACTACAAACTTTTCGAAACGGTTCTGGAGAAAATTGGAAGTTGTCATGAGAAACTACGAATTTTGGCTCTCGAATAAGTACCGAAACTTTCGAAAAGGCATTTTCCTCAAAAATCTCCCGTGGATAATATGATTTCGGGATTTTGAAAAATTCTTTCGACGTGTCGTCGAGCTCCACCGAAGAACTTTTTCCATCCTCTTTTTCGTGTTACAAGTAAATTCTCACAGGAAACTTCAAGGTTTGGGCTATCGAATAAGTTCTGAAACTGGAAATTGAAAAGCCAGAATTTGAAAACTGTATTTCGATGTATTTTCGCTAATGTATTTCATTTTCGAGATTTTCGTTGACCTTTTAGGAAAGCTTGAAATTCACATGGCCATGGGT